GTCAACCGCACCACTCAGCTTGGTGTCATCTGCAAACTTGCTGAGGGTGCACTCAATCCTACTGTCTGTGTCATTGATGAAGATGTTAAGCAGCACCGGTCCCAGTACGGACCCCTCAGGGACACCACTTACCACCGGCCTCCATGTGGACATTGAGCCATTGACCACAACCCTCTGGATGCGACCATCCAGCCAATTCCTTATCCACTGAACAGTCCACCCATCAAACCCATATATCCCCAATTTAGAGAGAAGGATGTTGTGGGGGTCTGTGTCAAAGGCTTTACAGAAGTCCAAGCAGATGACATCCATTGCTTTTCCCTTGTCCACTGATGCAGTCACTCCTTCGTAGAAAGCCACTAGGTTGGTCAGGCAGGATTTGCCCTTGGTGAATCCGTGCTGGCTGTCTCGAATCACCTCCCTGTCCTCCATGTGCTTGAGCATATCTTCTAGGAGGATCTGCTCCATGATCTTCCCAGGCATAGAGGTGAGGCTGTCAGGTTGGTAGTTCCCAGGGTCCTCTGGGGTCCTGCTATGGTGTTCTATATTCAAAAACCAACAGATGCTTTTCCTGTTTTCCTTGTTTGAACACAATCTGTATTTTTAAAAGGAGGTCTGTTTGCATCGAGCAGCCTCCTAAAACTCTGCCAGCCACTTTCATCTTTTTTTAAATAATGAGACACTCCGTAGTCCCTCTGCTGAAATACTTCCAAAGCTTGTGCCAGTAGCTACAAAAAGCATAATGAGTCATGACGTATGTCTGTATTTCAGCTTCTATAAATTTGTCATCTGCTTTATGCACCCACAAGTTTAAAGTCGTGGTACCTTACAGATAATTTTACACATGTATGAAGAAAAAACTATCAGTGCAAACATCCATTCAGGTAAATTTGAAGTAATAGTTAAAGTCAAAGCTGCTGATTGTCCAAAAGAAGAAATGTTATTTCAAGGCAGAGAGGAGACAGTCAATACTCACGTGTCAAAAAAGAATTCGGGGATCTTTTCCAACAACAGTGTTATGATAGCAGACTAGAAGAAAGGCAAAAAGACAGTGTTAGGATGACGATTTCCTGCTTGTGCGGTGGCACTGCCATCAAAACGGATCTTTCACAAGAGGAAATATGCACAGAGAATAAAAGACTCAAAAGGACAAATGAAACTATTTCCCTGTATAAGAAATCTCTTCCCTAATGCCAGAAAGAAGGCATACAGCCTGCAAGCTGAAAACCACAAATGCCAAGTGGTATAAACTATCTACATAATCTAATAGAAGCAGAGCATACGTGCAGGATGTACAATTCCTCTGGGCCAAACAAAGCGCTCTTCTCAGACCCAGGTGAGTGGCTTTTCATCACATAGGAATCTTTAGATAAGTTTGACAAGAGTGCCCACACGTTTTTGCCATTCCCTTTGCAGGTCTAATTCTTCCCCCTTTTAATCCTGGCCCAAATGCAATTCTAAAAACATATTTAAGACAAGAACTTTTAAAACATTTAGTTATAAGAGGATTTAAATCCACAGCTGCTCTAAGGTTTCCCATGCCTTGGTGAGATATTTGTCATCTTCAACTCCATATACATCTTGATGCAACTTGTATACAACTTAACAGAACTTGTTCTTGCCAGCAGGTTGCTCAGCATCTTGCCCATTTTTAAACACCTCCAAGATTCAAATTCCTCCAATAATGGAGTTTCCATCACCTCTCTAGCCTACCTGTTCTAGCACTTAAGGAAAACATTCTCCACAGTGGAAGTGGTTATATCCTATCAGAATTTCCCATGGTTGACCTGAGCTGTCATCTCTCATCCTGGCTCTGTTCACCTTTGAGAAAAATCTGGCTCTGTTTTCTCTACACCATGCAACTAGATATTTGAAGACCACAAGATCTTCCTTAATCTTCTCTTCTTAAGGCTGAACAAACCCAGTTCCCTCTGTCTCTTCCTGTATGCCATGTGTTCCAGGCCCTGAGCATCTTTCTGTCCCTAAAGAAACAAGAAATTGGACACTATTCCAGATGCAGCCTCATCTGCCTCACAACCAGTTCCATTAATCCTCTACTTACATAAGCAAAAGGATCCCTAAATAAATCAAAACCAGTGTGAAGAGCAAACTAAGGTGCCCATACCTGTAAGCTCTTAATTCCAAGAAGCAGTTTAATGAGGCTTTCACAATATGAGTGCACCAGAGTCCTGCAAGATGAAAGATTCCACTACAGTTATAATAAAAAAACATTAGAAGAACAGGCTGTAACTTTCCATTACTGTTTTTTTTTTTCTTTTGAACCACTTACAATGACTTATGGTAACCACAGAAACAAACAAAAAATTTTAAAACTGCATTTTAGCTCTGAACAACCTAACTCTCTACAAGACTAGTGTGAGCTGGAAATGCAAAAGTCTTTCTGGTTAAGCTGTATCTCCTGGAAAAATTTTCAAAAAACAGTTGACCTTCCCCAGCCTTGTCAAAATTTTTCCCCCGGTATTTGGTTCTTGCCATAAAGTGCCATGGAGCCCAACACATGCCACAGGCAGGTAGTAAATTCTGCAATTTACCACTTTAAACTTACTGCTATTAAATGGCAACATATTGCACTAGCCACTTTTGCATAAGAAACAAGTCTTGTGTATCCGCTGGAGCTATGGTCTTTCCCTCCACTCTACTCAATGTTACATGGCACTTAAATAGAGACCAGCTCTGACTGAAGGGGAAGACAAAACACATTTTCTCTGACCTCGACCCCTCAGTCCGTATGGGAGTGCATGGCAAGAGACAGTTCTTGAACTGGTTTCTGTCCTTGATATGAGATTCCAAGCCGTTGATAAACTGCTTCACAACCTGCAGAGCAGAGAGAAGTTATCCACTTCCTGAAAAGACGCCCTGATCAACTCCTGTCTTTTAGGATGCTCTTTGTGAGCAGATGATGAGAACAGGGAAGAGGTAGCCAGGGAAATGCAGACAGACAGAAATTGTGATGAAAGGAAAGCTGGATAATAAATGAACTCTAGTCTAAACCATTTCCAAAAGGAAACACCAGTTGTTCTACAAAGTAACTCTAAAGCAGCAGTCTCACATTTTACTTTGATTATAAAGGTCTTTGCCTGTCTTCCTGTTCAGCTGAGATGGCAACATTTAATGTGACAAGAGCTGTACCCAAAATATTTGCAGGATTCAAATCGCTGGCCTCGGGACTTTCACGCTGGGCTTGTTGACTGGAGAGGAGCATCACATTGTGGCAGTTTTAATGCTGCCAGCTCCCAACCAACACAAAACCAAACACAGCTTCCACTAGAAAGTTAAGCAAATTATTTTTTTCCCTTAAGAGTCTTTGTCTATTGAATAATATTGCCAATTAATTATTTTGACAGGGCAAGGTGGTGGAAGTGCAGCACTTTTGCTTGGAATGATGCAAAACCAAACTTGGAGTATGCATACCAAGGCTGGTTTAACAGAGGCACATGCTAATCATCTCTATGTCTGACTATTCAGACATAACAGCTGAGAAGAGACAGATATAGCAGAAGGACAGTGGGACCAGGAGGCTGGGACGGCAACATTGAGAGAATTAGAGTCTGGACCACAGAAATCCAAGGTAAGCTACCCTGTTACACACTTTTGCAGAGGAATAGCAGAGACAGGCAGCTGCTTTGCATCTTTTGCTACAGAGCAAACAGTTTTAAAGCTGGCTCCTGCCAAAGCATAGTCTGTTACTTACGCCTGGGTAAGTAGGGTGCTTCTCCAGGGCCAGGCAGAGCTTCTTCTGGAAAGCCATTTGATCTACAGCTAAGGAGAAAGTTTAAAAAGAAAATAAAGAACCAGACAAATTTTATCCGTACGACATCATAACAACAGCTCTCAAGCCCATCCACCAATACTTCCGCGTTTGCTCTACTGAAGAGTCCAGTTAGCAAAAACCTGAGTGGTACCACCACTTGTGCTGTCTCCAGTCTGGGCTGAGAGTAGCTAATAGCATTAAAAAGGCTTAATACATGAATTCCTGAAGGCCTTGTCTGAGCTGAAGGGCAACACAACATGTTTGTTTTCCTGTTTCAGAGCTCCTGCCTCTGTAACTCAATACTGTAATCACAGATGCAGTCTAATCTTATTTCATATACCTCCAATAATCTTTCAGAAGTCTTTTGACTTAGCATGTATACCCAAAAAGCTAGTATAATGAGTTCAGGAACTGTGCAATTCAAGAGGTATATAACAAATAAGAGGCCAGATGAAGGTTTGCTTGACCTTTGGAACAAGTTGGCTCAAGCATTTTTGCTCTGCAAGTAAAATGTATCTTTACTTTGTACCAGTCACCTTTGCAGGTTTTCAGATACAAGCAGAGAGAGCAAGTGTTAAACCCATACCTATTTCATTCTGTCCCTCCCCAGCTTTCAGTACAATTCCTGAAGCTCTAAGGAGCTCTTCAAAGACTCCCTCATTCTCCACTCCACCATGGGCAGAGGCCTTTTCCTTATCAGAAATCCGCGACTTCTTTGGTTCTGAGAAAACAAGACATGCTACATCAAATATACTCTGCAATAAAAATAGCAAGGATCCTTCATAGAAAAAATTTAAAATTAACCTTCTAGTAAGAAATTAGAGGAACACAGGAATATACTTATGGGACCAGACCAACAAACTGTACTGCTATTTAACAGCAGTCGTTAGCTGACTCGGATACCAACGCACAGATCCTATAAAGCAGTTACCCCTGCAGCATGACACCAGAAAGGAACATTCTTACTCAGTCCTTTTAGTGATCCATAATGAAAGACAGTTAAGATACACCTTCAGTGGCTTACTCCCATGGGAGACATACCCACTAACAGATTATGAGCAACGTTAGAGCACATACTTTCCTCTGGACTGAAAAGCACAAATTTAATACAGGTTCTCCCACCAGACCTGTCTCTTAGGTATCTACCCATCTGCTAAAGCAAAAAAATAACTATCTTCCCTCCAGCTACATAGAGAGCTTATTTTGGTTTGATTTATAGATATCAGTTTTGGTCAAATGTGATTAATCTACAGACTCTGAAGGCAGTGAAGCTCAAGATGGTAAGCACTGATCAAAGATATGAGAACAGAGGGACTGCGAAAAGATATGGCACTGCTTTTAACATTGTTGTTTTATTGTCATTTATTAAAAAAATGTGTTTAAAGATCAACAGTGTCCTTAACAATTAGCTAGTAGCATTATCAAAACTGTCATTCTGGCCTTCTCCCTGCCTGGGAGCCACTGCCTCCACCAACAGGTCTCCACTCCCTGTAAGATTATACCTGAGCACCTACTCAGCAAGTCTGTCTTGCAGCTCTCTCCATCGGTTTTTGACAATTTCCTTTTTGAAACCATGGTAACAAAACCTTTGTTGTTGCCTATAAAAACGCAGGAAAAAGACAAGTGAGCAAAGGACACATGACTTTAACTGAGGCTTTTTTAAGCAAATCTAGAATGTGTTAGTGACTAATGAAGGGAAATGCTCCAGAAACTGACATTGCTCAAAGAAAAGCAGACTGCCTGGTTAACCAGTATCATGCATTTTTCTGCCATACAGGTTGAGATTTTAGAGCTTGTCATATTTAAATAGCGCAATATATCACTTTTTCTAAAATTCATTTCCTCATAAAACAAGGCTTAGCTGCTCTTTCAGATGCCAGGCGAATTGAATGGCAAGTTAAACTGAGTAACTAAGAGGTCTCAGATGGTATCCACTGATCTGAACTTGTGATCCTCTTCCCATGACCAGAGAAAGCTACAAAGGATTAGCAATTTAGCGTTCATGAGCCCAGGCACGTTAGATGACCCCGTTCATGTTCCCAACCCAGTACAACTGCAGGAAGAGTTCTGTCAGCGCAAACCTCCATCCTACTTGTCCTCTTTTGGTGGGTGGCAGTGGTTAAAAAGAAAAAATAAATCTTGGCTCACCTTTAAAACTTAAAAATTGTTTTAAAAGACGCTTGATCATCTCACGCTCAGTTTCAACTATTTGGCAGAGGCTATTCAAACGAGTTACATGAAATATCAGAGTGGAAGCGGAACAATTCCCAAAAAAACCGTGATGAGCCTTTAGCAGCTCTTCTGGAGCCGAGGTGCAGACTGACAGGCCAAAGAAGAGTGCTCGCTCCCGGGTAGCCCTCTCTTTATCAGATCTGCTCCCAAACGCTTGGAAATTCCTGCGGCAGCCAACTTACCTCACCTGAGCATTTATTTATAGGGCAGTACGGGGTACATAGAAGCTTCATCACCTTTAGCTCGGTTACCTCAGTTTCCGCGGCCAGGAAAGGCCCGCTGCACCCTGAGAGCAGGCTAGCGTTGCAGCAGGCAGGCGAGTTTTAAAGCCGGTTTTATGCTCTTGAGAACGAACAGCGGGATTTTGCCCAAACGTGGCTCCGAAGCGCGGTCCCAAAGCGCACCGGCCCCGGGAAGCACGGCCAGGGCGGGGAGGGGCGGGGCGGGTCACGCTCC